AGGAGCCGTGAGAGCAACAATGGCGGAGTTTGTAGTCAAACCACTGGTATCCATGTTGACGAACAAGGCGTCCAGCTACCTGCTGGACCAGTACAAGGTGATGAATGGCATGGAGGAGCAGCGTGAGACCCTCAAGCGCAAGCTTCTGGCGATCTTGGATGTCATCCAAGATGCGGAGGAGAAAGGAGCTTCCCGACCTGGAGTGAGTGCTTGGCTCGAAGCACTCAAGAAGGTGGCCTATGAGGCGAACGATGCCTTCGACGAGTTTAAGTATGAGGTGCTCCGGCGTGAAGCCAAGCAGAAGGGACACTACAAGAAGCTTGGCTTTGACATCGTAAGCATCTTCCCTGCTCACAACCCAATTGTATTTCGTTACAAGATGAGTAAGAAGCTGTGCAGAATTGTGCGCAAAATTGAGGGCCTTGTCAGAGAAATACATGACTTTAGATTCAACCAAACTCAGCAAGCACCACCATCCAAGCACTGGCGCAACACAGATTCCATAGTACTTGACTCTGAGAAGGACATTGTCAGCAGGTCCAGAGATGAAGAGAAGAAGAAGATTGTTAGTATATTGGTTGATCAAGCTAGTGACAGGGACCTCATTGTCCTACCCATTGTTGGAATGGGTGGGTTGGGCAAGACCACCTTTGCTCAGCTTGTCTACAATGACCCTGAAATCAAGGAGCATTTCCAGCTCCAGAGGTGGTGTTGTGTGTCAGATGATTTTGACGTTGCTAAGATTGCAAGCAATATCTGTCAGACCAATGAGATCAATCGTGAAAAGGCACTGCAGAACCTTCAAAAGGAAGTAAGTGGGAAGAGATACCTCATTGTGTTGGATGATGTATGGAATGAAGATGCTGATAAGTGGGAAAAACTCAAGACCTGCCTGAAGCACGGTGCCAAGGGCAGTGCAATACTGACGACCACTCGTAAAGCACAAGTAGCACAAATTATGAAGATGTGTATTGATGACAGCCACAATCTTGGAAATCTGGGTAAAGTATTTCTGATGGAAATATTTGAGAATAGAGCATTTTGTTTGCAAAAGCCAAAGGCTGCTGAGCTAAGCGATGTGGTTGAAAAGATTCTGGACAGATGTGGAGGCTCTCCTTTAGCTGCCAAAGCCTTTGGATCTATGTTGAGTAACAAGACTCGCATGAAAGAATGGACAGACATACTAGCCAAAAGCAACACTTGCAATGAGGACACAAAAACTTTGCCTATACTCAAGCTCAGCTATGATGACTTGCCATTACACATGAAACACTGCTTTGCTTTTTGTGCAATATTTCCCAAAGATTATGATATTGATGTGGAAATTCTAGTCCGGCTATGGATGGCACATGATTTCATACCAGTAAAGGATGGTGAGAATCTTGAAAAGGTAGGCAGAGAAATTTTTGACGAGCTAACTTGGCGATCATTCTTTCAAGAGGTCAAGCTAACCCCCCGAGGAACGTACGCAAAATCCTGGGGGGAGATCCGTTCCAGAACAGTATGCAGGATACATGATCTTATGCATGACATTGCCTTGTCTGTTATGGGAAAAGATTGTCTTACTATAGTTGACAGGCCTAATGAAAAGGAGTTGTTGTCAGCAGGCCCTGCTCGCCACCTGTTCTCATCATATGAGAATATCCGGACTCTTTTGGATGATTATCTGAAGAAACACTCTCCCACTCTTCAGACACTGTTGTATACATATAGCTTCACTAATGGCTCGACACCACATTTGTCGAAGCACAATCATCTGTGAGCATTACAACTCTTTCAAAACTGCAAATTGACAAAGGCACTCCGACCGAGGCACCTACAACACCTGAGGTATCTTGATCTCTCAAGGAACCAGTATATGAACGAACTTCCCAATGAAATAAGCACACTGTATAATCTACAGACCCTTAACCTTACTGGTTGCCGGAATCTTAGTCGACTTCCAAATGATATGAAGTATATGACAAATCTCCGCCACCTCTACACAAATGGATGTACATCATTGGAGTGCATGCCTCCAGACCTTGGGCAACTCACTTCTCTACAGACTCTAACATACTTTGTTGTGGGTTCTAGTCCTTATTGCAGTAATATTGGAGAACTACGGGATTTAAATCTTGGTGGCGAATTAAATCTATCTGGTCTTCAGTATGTAACTGAACAAGATTCTAAAGCATGCAGTCTTAGCAATAAAAAGAAACTCACACATTTATCTCTTGAATGGAGCGATGACAGCAGTGGGCAACTGAACCAGCACAGGGATGTGCTTAATGCTCTTAAACCCCTTGCTGCGCTCCAGTTGCTAAGCATACACTGCTATAGAGGTACTGGCTTCCCGACATGGGTGATAAGTCTCAGTTTTCTGGAGCATTTGACCGAGCTCTGCCTAGATGGTTGTACAATGTGTGAGGAATTTCCCCAATTTGGTCAATTTAAGGCCCTTAAATTCTTGTTTTGATAAGGTTGAACAAACTGCAAACCCTATGCAGTCATAATCCTTCTGCAGCATTTCCAGCATTAAAACACGTCAGATTAGAAAAATTGGAGAACTTTCAGAGATGGGTGGCAACGGAAGGAGAAGAATTAACATTTCCTCTGCTTGAGAGTGTTCACTTGAAGAACTGCCCAAAGCTAACAACTCTGCCTGAAGCACCAAAACTCAAAGTTATAGATGTAGCAGAAGACAAGGCTCAACTATCCTTATCAATATTTGAATCAAGGCACATGTCTTGCTTGTCTGAGGTAGTCCTGTCTGTCAGCCATACAGAAGAAACACCAGCACTGGAGGTTGTTCAGGATCGTGAAGTATCTCTTTCGAAACTGATGTTGTATGGTTGCAGCTTTTTGTTCTGTTGTAGTCCATTCCAGCCAACGGTTGGGGTCTGGAAATGGTTTGGTCAGCTTAGGAAATTGAATATCGAATCTTGTGATAGTCTCATCTACTGGCCTGAAGAAGAGTTCCGAAGCTTGGTAGCATTGGAGTATTTTGCCATTGATCTCTGCAGCAATCTAGTAGGCCCCACAAAGGTGAAAGAATATCAGGCTCGAGGAAGGGGTCAACTCTTGCCAAATCTGAAAGGACTAACAATATACCGTTGTAGAAGCTTGACAGAGCTTTTCATTCTCCCCCCATCTCTCATGTTCATTGAAATTAGATTCTGCAATATGCTTGAGTCCATACTCGGGCAGGATGATAGAGAGTTGGAGAGCGTACAAGACTTTGATACAGCAGCACCATTGGAACACTGCAGTGATCTTGCATCCACAAGTTTGCCAGAGCAGTCAACCTCACCTAGAATTAATCATTTGCCATGTCTCCAGCTTTTATTAATAGATGGCTGTAAGAAGCTTCATTTCGTGTCAGCACGGTTGGACGGACTCTTAACTTTGTATATTTGGGGTTGTGATGGGCTGGAGTCGCTGGATTATTTGGGAGACCTACCGTTACTGAAAGAACTACATCTTGAGAGTTGCAAACATCTGGTATCTGTACCAGGTAATCTCGAGAATTACTCAGCGCTTCGGGAGCTCATCATTAAATACTGCCCAGCTATAAATATGAAGTCACTTCATCGGGGCCTCCAACGGCGGTTTGATAGCCTTGAGCACAAGGATATAACTCATGCTGGTTCATGTGATCCTGACGAAGGTATCTTTCAGCCCCCCCCCCCCCTCCCCTTATGTTGTGTTACAAGTGTACACCTTGCAGCCTACAGTTTGAAGTTTTTTTCAACTCCTTGTATTTTTGCTTTTGGGTACATGCTTGGTTTTGTTTTATTTATTTATTTCAATGCCAAGAAGCATGTGAATAGGGTTTCCCGTGTCTTAGTAAGGAGAGGAGAGGCTTTGCTTTCAATACGATGGTAGCCATTAACCTTGATCCAGTAAACTTAGATCAGCGCCTAAATCATCATTTGCATATAATTAAACAGTACCATTGACTGTATTTATATTATCTATGATTGGTACTAAAATTTATATACATCATGGAAGTTTGTTCTCCTGTGTACCGTCTATTGCAATATCACCTTTTCATATAGTTCTGCTGTTTTGAATTGGGTGCAGTTAATTTTCATAGAGATATTCTGACATTGTTCTGCATGGCAGGGCCTAAACTGCGGGAACCAAAATCCTGGAAACATACAGTTCCTTCACTGCGCAAGTGCGAGTCTGAGTAGAGATACAGATATCACTGGAATTAATTTTTGCATCTTGAATTCCACCACTTTGGTGAGCGTAAAAGTCTAAAAGATCAGCGTAGTTAGTTTTTGTATGTTTGTCTTTGCTTGAGCTGACTGTGTGAACTCCTAACAGGGTTGCTCCTGCACATGCAAATGATCAGCATAATAGGTAACTGGCCTCTTCAAGAGAATCTTCAGTGTGATGTTTTCCTGTTCGGTAAGCTGTGATGAAAATAAGCCTCGAAGACCTGAAAGGCTGAAGCTTGGACAACGTGAATCCCAAGTTACAGAACTGGAGAGACCCTTTCTTGGGCTGAAGCCAATTACTTTGTGCAGAACAAGTGTGTCCTTGAACATGACATGTCTGAGTTAGTAAGTACACTTGCAGTCAGTCATTGTGCTGCCGAGCCATTTGTTTTCAGGATGTGCAAGTTTGATGTGCTAAAAGATTGCTTTGTTGTGTTGCTCTTTCTTGGGCTGAATCAACCCATATTGCAAGATTGCTCCTCTGTCTGGAACTAACATTCTTTAACCATCCTCAACCCCTCAAGATCTCATGTTCATGATCGACCTCTGAACTTAACTGAAGTATAGACACCATTCTCTGAAGGAAAGCTACAGTCTATCTGAACGCTCTGCTTTTCGCACCATCCTGAGCTTTTAAGTCCATCTGATCACCATCCCATGGCGGAGGTTGCAATTTATCGCTTCACTTGTAAGTCAAGTCAGTCCTCCTGGATCGTTGATCGTTCCATCCGACGGCTCCCTGCACCATGCCCGTCGCTATTGCTCTCTCAACGATGGTTGTCTTCTTCTCTTTACATCACTGCATTCCCTGGTTACCTCTTGTAAGGCTAAAAAAGCCAGAGATATGGTGTCCGAGACTCGTCTATCTTGTATTTGGGTTATACCCTAGCTGCCACTGTTTGTGGGTCAGGCAAAGGCAATCCTCTTTGAGTGAGATATCCTAGTCAATTTCCTTGCTAAGTCCCACATTCAGTCTACCGTTCATCTCTGAATTCCTCCCAGTCATCTGAACTAGCCATCTTCAAGGGGATCTTCAGTGTGGAGCTCTTTTGTTTTCCTGTTTCCAAAGTTGCAGAACTGGAGCAAGAAGCTCGTACTGAAACCGGTTCAGTATGTGCAGAACAAACAAGCATATCATCGCACAAATCATATATGAGTATCATGTCCACTGGAACTTTGCTTGTGGCATGTGCACAGTTAATTCAGATAGCGACTTACCCCGCAAATAAAAATTTCAGATAGCGGCTTGAGTATGTGTGTTTTTGCTAGTCTTATGATAAAGATTTTGACGCAAATACAAAAGACTATTTGTCGAGGCTGATCTGTGAATGGGTCAAATGGGGCTCAAATCTACGCTTCAGAGCTATATAAAATAATATATGCATTTAAGCTGTGATTTGCGCTGCTTCGGTAGATGTACCATGTTCAAATTACCAGCGCCTCTCAGGATGTACATACAGTACTACATGATTGTAGAGTACAAAAAACAGTATGCAATTATGTGCTGGCGGGCCGCCACTCGTTGTGTACTGGTGGGAGTACGTACAGTCCACTACTGTAATACGTACTCTTTCCTATTTCAAATCTCCTTTTGACATATCGTGTACCTGTAGAGTAGAACACGATTGGGTGATAAATTAACTACTGGAACGATTTTGTGTGGCAGACATCTGTTTTTGTATACGTGTGCTTTTGTCGGTCTTATGATAAAAATTGTAATGCAAATTAAAGATTGGTTCTGGAAGCTCTGAATGGGCGAATGTGTGAAATGAAGCTCAATCCTACGCTTCAGAGCTCTATATATGATAGGAGTATATACAATCAAGCTGCCTGGCCCTGTTCAAATTACCGGTGCCTTTCAGCAGGAGGTACATACAGTACTACATGATTTCAGAATTCAGAGTACAAAACACCCCAAAGACAGAGGAAGCACCAGGGTTGATCTCTAGACAGAAATGACATGGACAAACTACACAAGCATAGATTGCCCGCTATTCCTAATTTTCACTGAAACTTGCTTCGAACCATTTACGAGCATCCATCGACTCCAAACTTCACAAGGCCAAAAAAAAAAAAGAAATCCTTCTCATTTTCAAAAACAGAAAAAAGAGAATCCTTAGTAGTAAGAATTTATTCAGCATTATGCGGAAGAACATGCTTAACTGGAATTCACTAGGAACATCACTGAAACTTTGCAAAAATTTCAGAAGACAGCCGATGTCCCTATATATGAACTGAAGAAATTATTTATTTATGGATGTATGAAGCTTTGTTCGGCATCAGCTCAGGATGATTTAGAGTTGCATACACTCCTATTTCTGTGTATAAGCCATTGTGATGGGCTGGAGTCGCTGACTGTTTGACATGCCTATCATTACTGAAAATACTACATCTTTATTTTCGATAATTTGGTAAGAAGACAATACAGCATGGAAGTATGCTCTGTTCTGTAGTGTGTTCACAATTCTTCTTGATATTTATTGCAATTATCATCTATTTATATAGTTACTTCTGTTCTTTTGACTTGTATGCAGTCAAGTTTCATAAAGATATC